TTTTTTTTTTTTTTTTTTTTCTCTTTCTCTTTGTGGTTCATTTCAGTCCAATAATCCTGTGTATATATGATACCCTAGTAGTGACTATTGTTTTAAGCAGGTGGTTGTTGTAATTGCTTTTATAATGGCATAGATTTGTACAAAGACTGGAGTGATGAGACTCCGGACTGATTGAGGCTGCAGAGTCAACTATGTATGCTTTGACATGGTGCACATTTTATATATTGGTTATTTTTATTTGCAGATGTAAGAAGACCAAGAAGTCCATTTGGTGGTATACAGTTTGGAAAGGGCTCTTCTGCATGTATGGCACTAATGTGCAAACGTAATTTTAAAACACTGAATATTGTTACAGAATTTTGTATATGCTTTTTAGATGGATAAATGTCTTAATAAAAATGTGAACAACACCTTAATTTGTGTGTAGTTCTGGTAACTAATTTAAGAGATACTGGAGTGGTGGTAATCTGGATTGTGGTGGTTACCTTGTTGATGTCTTATCATAAAATATGCACATCGATAAATGGTGTCTATACCATTATGAATCTTAAAAAAAAAAAAAAAAAAAAAACTAATAGCAAATGCTAGTACATATGGCATGCGTCCAATATCTGAGTGTGAATACTGATCTAATAGACCATGCATTGTATAAACCCAGCATCCTACACGGATGATCCACTCGTTTCTGCCGGCAGGAAGACCGGAGTCCTGAGACCGTTACTTGCTCGCTACTTCCGGATTACTGCTCATAATGCTCGCTCAGTTGTATAGTTCATCACCCGAATGATATTTAAGAGCGATTGTTTTGTAGATTAGTGTGTATCTGAAAGACGAGCTCTTCGTATAAGCTCTGAACTAGTATTCATCTACACAAGCAACTGTTGGATTTAACGTTACGCGTTTAAATGAAACTTGTAAGGTGAGTGAATGTGACGTCGTCGGAGATGAAATGTGAAATGTTTATTTAGCGACAGGTCTGTATTAAGTAAGCTTTTTTTTTTTTTTTTTTTTTTTTTAAAGCGCTGTCTTTTGTGATTACACCAACGCGCAACAAAGAGGTTAAATGTTGTGTGCCGTGTTTGCACGAAAATGTAAGTCTTTGTCGTTAAACGTATACGTGCCGATTCTGGGAAGTCGTGTTTATACAATGGTAATTTCCTATAAACAAGCGTCGTGGATCATCAAAAAAAAACACGCGACGTTCCCTGAACAGATTTGCGTGTTGTCTGACTGATGTTTGAGGGAGTGGTAGAAAAGACGGAGTTTTGATGTTTATTAACGAACAGTTGTGACTATAAACGTATACGTGCCGATTCTGGGAAGTCGTGTTTATACAATGGTAATTTCCTATAAACAAGCGTCGTGGATCATCAAAAAAAACACGCGACGTTCCCTGAACAGATTTGCGTGTTGTCTGACTGATGTTTGAGGGAGTGGTAGAAAAAGACGGAGTTTTGATGTTTATTAACGAACAGTTGTGACTATTGTTCAAATTCGACCATAAACGTAAACCGGGAGCATAAGAGTTCAAACTCTCAGGGATTCAGTACCGTGTACGAGCAGCTGGCATCTGGATCAGCTCGGTTCATTATTCCTGGCTTCGTGAGGATGTGCTAATGGGAAGAGACGCATTTTGAGTGATGCTGGACTGGCTCTTTATGGTTTCAAGTTAACATCGTTTAGGCTCCATCATTTTATGGCTTGACGACGTGACTTAAATCAAAAAAAGGTAAACGGTGGTTTTGACTTTTTTTCTTTTTTTTCTTTTGAGCTTATAGTAAACATGTCTGGGTGGTGTTATACAAACAAGACAATCTAATTAAAAGGCTGACATTCTTGAGGGGAAAACGTGAAGAACTATCCAAATTATTATTTTAATGAATTAAGTTTTAAAATAATATTTGAAACTCAGAACTGTAAGAGTGAATCAGATTGTTTTGAGATATTATAGATATTTTGATCCTTTTGTGGAAGAGGCATATATATATATATAATTTGGATTAAATTCATTTAGACATCTTGTTCTAGCAAATCCACAAGTGATCGTTACAAAACATTAAGCCAACATCACTAAAAGATTAACTCAATTGTCTTTTTGTGGGGTGCATGAGTTGCAAATGTTGACTGAGTGACCAGTAAAATTATTACTAGAACAAATTTAGGCCATGTTATTTGGGTTACTAACAATAGAAATTAGGACAGATGTGTGTGTTATGTGTCGAACTGCGTTGTGATTGGCCGAATTCCTCAAGCGTGTGACAGAAATGTTACGCCCCTCACCACATTGTGATGATGACCTGTCAGGCTGTCTTTGCAACTTTACAGATCTTCTTTATGCACCAAGAGCTTGTAACACTCCAAAGAGAAAGGAAAAATTGAAATCGCATCATATGACCCCTTTAAGAGAAACAACCATACTAAAAGTCAAATCAGTTCTGTCTGACCTAATTGCAGATTTCAGTCTATATTGTTTAACATCATCATGCTGCTGTATGCTCACAACTACTGTTATTCTTTTCTCTTTTTTTGGCAAATAGCTACTTCAATCTCTTTTTAGTATTCAACCCTTCTAAACATGAACATGTGAGACTGACATTTAGGAACATTATGTACTAATCATTCTACTAATTAAAGTGAAGTTATTTGTAATACATTGCTACAGCTGAATTGTCCATATTTGCATCACATTTCTAGGAATGTCTAGGTTTATTATACTGGAGTTTCTCTATTTGGCATAAAAACTGTAACGTAAAATAGTGGTCCTGAATTCAAAGTGTCACTTTGTGGTACACAAGAAGAAGAAAAAGAAACCACACACAGCCTCATTCCCTTTTCATCACAGTCTAGTATGTTTCCATGACAACAGTGACATCAGCGCTGTGCAGAGATGTGTGTAAGGATGAAAGACTCCTCTGCTGTGGTTCTCTATGGTTATTAGCCTCTGCCAGCCAACAGCAAAAGTTATTGTCAGTCACATGATCATTTGACCTACATGGTGACTAACTCATTAGCAATTACAATAAAACAATACATACAATAATGCAATAATGCATACATTTAATTGAAAAAGGCAGGTTTTTTGTTTTCATACATCTGTTGAATATGTACATCAAGCCCTTGGGAACTTTAGAATTTATTAGAAAGATTTTATTGAAATGACCAATTTAAAATAACTGATTTAGTTAACATTCATTAATTTCAGGAGCAACACTTTGTCCGTTTAAGTATGCTTTAGGTTGGTAATAGCAAGTTATGCATTACTTTTTTAGTTTGTAGTTAGCATTACTTCATCCTGTACTTTCTAGCTCTTTTTTTATTTTTTAGATTTATGAACAATCGTGCACCATCTAATAAGAGATATCAGCCAACAGAATATGAGCACGCTGCTAACTGTGCCACGCATGCGGTGAGTTGTGTGTTTACAGTCTTAAAGGAATAATTCACACAAAAATGAAAATTTACTCACCCTCAGGCCATCCAAAGTGAAGATGAGCTTGTTTCTTCAAATTAACAGATTTGGAAAAATTTAGCATTACATCACTTGCTCACCAATGGATCCTCTGCAGTGAATGGGTGCCATCAGAAGACAACATCACAATAAGTAATCCACACAACTCCAGTCCATCAATCAATGTCTCAATGTGAAATGAAAAGCTGTGTTTGTAAGAAACAAATCCAGCATCAAGACGTTTTTTAACCTCAAACTGTTGCTTCTGGCCAAAATACAGGAGAGAAATATGCTCAGATCAAGCACTGTTCAATAGTGCAAACAGTCCAAAACAGTTCTATACAAATATGTTGGTGGATTATGATGTGAGAGGACAACAGGATTATGGACTCATATTTTGGACTGAAGCAAAGATTTAAAATTGAAACGTCTTGATGGATTTGTTTCTTACGAACACAGCTTTTCACTTAAAGGCATTATTAACTGGAGTGGTGTGGATTACTTGTGGATTATTGTGATGTTTCTATTAGCTGTTTGGACTCTCATTCTGACGGCACCCATTCACTGCAGAGCATTGGTGAGCAAGTGATGGAATGCTACATTTTCTCCAAATCTGTTCCGATGAAGAAACAACTTATCTACATGGTTGCAAAGAAGCAGAAATCTTCTGGAAAATTTTGGTAAATTTCTGGAAACTTTCTAGAATTTTTGGAGTTTCCAGGATTTTGGGGGAAAATTTTGAACTTTTTTTTTTTTTTTTTTTTACAGACATTTTCTGCCCCTTTTCAACCCTACTCATCTACATTTTTGATGGCCTGAGGGTCAGTAAATTTTAAGCAAATTTTCATTTTTAGGTGAACTATTCCTTTAATCATAATTATGTATATATAATTATTTTGAAATTATTTCCTCTACAGTTCACACTGGTGATCATGATCTGTGACTGTATTTTATTCTCAGCTCTGGATCATTCCCAGCATTGTGGGTGGGATCTTGTTGTACCTCGTATCTGATGACCACTGGGAGGAGATTTCAGCATGGCTCTATGGGGCAGGCCTATCAAGCCTTTTCATCATATCCACAGTTTTCCATACTATCTCCTGGAAAAAGTCTCATCTCCGGTAAGAGTGTGACCTAAAGCTTTTTGAGGTTTTTGAATAGTTCATTTTCAGTTTGTGTACTGTGAACCTGAACATGAATATCTGTCTAACGAGTTGCAAGTGTACTGTATGTTTTCTTGAAATTAAGTTTGTGTAGCTGTAAGTGTACTTGCAATCTCATCATCTTTCAGGCCTAAATGATAATCCAGCTTCGTATTTATTTACAGATGAACTGGAGAAGTGAAATCTAATATCTGTTACTTTACTTTTTAGATCGGTTGAGCACTGTTTCCACATGTGCGACAGGATGGTGATCTATTTCTTCATTGCAGCGTCCTACACACCTTGGTGAGCACATGTCGAGAGTGAATGATGTTTTTGCAGCAATTTGAGAAATTGGTTTTTAGTCTGCATTGGGGATTAATGGATTTGTGTTTAGCTTTCATAAATTAACACGGAGTTCCGGGTGGGGAGATGGAAAACAATGTAAAGGACCGAGGGTTCATGCCAATATTTTTCAGTTTGTTTCCACTAAGATGTGTGAATGGGGAGATTTTAGCTAAAATACTGATGGTGCCAAAGATTCTGATTCCACAGAAAAATGTTGGATCACCAATAATGTTGTAAAAAACTATTTGCTGCTTAAACTTACAACAGTGTATTTAGATTTGGTTTAAAATATGATGTCAAGCCAAACCAGTGTTTTCAGAAATGTAGATACTTTTCTGAACAATGTTAAACTGATACAGTTTAAAACAATTCCCACATATTTAGTTAAATAAATAGTGTATTCGTTGCTTTGGGTTTTAGTCATTTTAACTTGTCCTACTTGATACACAGTTGCATAGCTTTGAGTTATAAATGTCAATTATACTTTTATTTATTTGGCAAACTTCTTTATCCAAATTGACATACTGTACAGTGCATTTAGGATTTATATTATGAGTATTTATATATCCTGAAAATGAAACGGGGGGAGTTTCACAGATAGTTTGATGTTCAGAATACCTTTAATTAAGAATCGAATGTATTTATGGCAGGCTGACGCTGCGGGATCTTGGTCCATGGGCTGCCCACATGCGTTGGGTGGTCTGGGTGATGGCCTCTGGAGGAACTGCCTATGTGTTCTTCTTCCATGAAAGGTATGCATGTGTTAAGAGTATTAAGATAATCATTAATAATGATTAAGAGTGTTCATTTCTAAGTTCTAGATTTACAACATTAGATTTTTGTAAGAAATAGCATTGATTTTTTTCTAATTTGTTGATTACAGTACCCTGCATCATATTTGTTGAATGAAATCAAATACGTTTCTTTCTAATTTTGAGGTGCTGATTCCAAAACTAGTGTCTTTTTTTTGCACTGGCACCTCACATTTTCCCACAAAATATGATATGTGCTTTTAATAGATTTTTTTTTTCTTTCGACAACCATTTGCAAGGTGAAGAAGTCTTGTACTGTAAGCAGAAAAACTGCCATAAAGACATGATTCCTGTCTTTCTCTGAGCCAGTTACAACTATTTGCTCAATTCACATGTATGATTGATTCTGAAGACATCATTCTATGCCTAAACCTGATTTCCACTTTTTCCACTGCTTTGCAGATTGTAAGTTAAATAGTATTTTGAATACTAATTTTTTGTTATTATAATGACTTTTGACTGCTTTTGTTCTTTTGACAAGTGCATTAAAGGATTAGTTCATACAAAAATGAAAATTTGCTGAAAATGTACTCACTCTCAATCTATCCAAGATGTAGATTGAAACAGGTTTGGAGAAATTTAACATGACTTTCTCACCAGTGGATCCGCTGCAGTGCTGGGGGAGTCAATTTTCAGCAGTTTTCATTTTTGGGCGAAAGATTCCCTTAAACATGATACATATCATTTTAAAAATCTTGAAAAAATTCTAATACATATCATTTGAAATGCATGGCTGTGTTATCTTTTTTTTGTAATGATACAAAAACACCTGGAACATTTTCTGTGTTAAAGGTGAACATGTTTCTTGCGTCCTTTGTGTTACAGGTTTAAAGTTGTAGAGCTGATCTGTTACGTAGCAATGGGTGTTTTCCCCGCTCTTGTCATCCTCTCTATGGTAAGAAAATGAACGCTTATGTTATGACAGACTAATTAGAAATAAATTCAACGTCTGTCTGTTTTCTTTATAGGCAGACAGGTCAGGTCTGTGTGAGCTGTTGGTTGGTGGCGGGTGTTATGTGTTGGGCATGGTGTTCTTTAAAAGTGATGGAATAGTGCCCTTTGCTCACGCTATATGGCACCTGTTTGTTGCAATGGGATCAGGCATCCATTACTATGCCATCTGGAAGTACCTGTACACACCTGTCAATCAACCAACCAGTACGGCCCGGTGACACACACATGCATACACCTAACCACAAAATCATTTGAATATATATTTGTCACAAAAGTGCTACTAAAGCATAAGCAGTATTGTTTATTTGCTCTGTTGTGTTTTTGCTAGCGAACGGTTTGACTGATGTCATTCTTGTCACTTATTAATAGGTCTTTAACTAGCACATACAACAGAAATTACGTCTAGCCTTTGTGAGACTGCAGGCAGCAGGGGTCATTTTGGACCTGAGGCCGTGTGGATCCAGAACAAGAACGTTTCTAGAAAACTATGGAGGTATTACATGAAGGTTTACAATTGTTTGTTTTTAAGTGAAGGTAAAATCACTGCCAGATATTTGTAAAAACATTCATCTTGGATAGTAATTACTTGACGACAGTTTAAAGGTTTTTCTGTAGTGTCTTTAAACCGACTTGGGATTATTCCACTAATTCTACCACTGCCAGTGTGGAGATTGTCTTATTCCTGTCAGAAATATGAGTACATTTCGTATTACTGTACACAGTATTAATTCTCCATGCTTCTAGTTTAGTGCTAGTCTGTTGCATTTTTTGGATGTGTAATGTCTTTGGAAAAATGCCACAAGTGCTTGATGACTATGTCCAGGGAAAAATTTGCCTGGACTGGTCATCTGATTTCATGGTTTAATGGAAAATTTCAAACTCTCATATTATGATTGTGCTTTTTAAAAAAAAATTTTTTTGGTGACTTTAAAATGTGCTTCATGTGATAACATCTATTTATTGATTTTAATCAAGTCAAAGTATTATTTAACATTTTAATTAATATTAAATGACTGCATCACCATGACTACATCACAGGATTACACCAACAAATAATTGAACTCATAGGAAAATAGCTAACTTTTTACAGTTTTTACAGCATTGAGACTTGCATGGTGCCAATTTGAGGCTTTTGCCTGATTTACTGCATTCCATTTCAGTGAAAATCTGAAAACAAGTGTTTTATTTTAGTTGTTATTTATTCATTTCAATTTACAGCTGCTGTAGATGTTGTATTACAGATCATTTTATATGAGTAACTTAATAGGGTATGAAAAACATCAGCTATTTGCCTTCATCATTTAAAGGTTTCGCAAACAGGAGTAAAAACTACATTTTGAGAGAATACTGATGTACTGACTTTAGTCAGATTCACCTCAGGTCAGTTTGAGAGTCATTAAAGAAACAATGCACCCAAAACTGAAACCTGTCAGCGTTTACTCACACCTGTTTAGTTCCCTACCTGCATTTTTGTCTTTCTTCTGTAGAATACTAAATTAAATGTTAAGCGGAATGTCCAGGCTGCTCTTTTTTTATGGAAGCTTGTTTCCACCACAGGATAAAAAAAAGCAGTTGTGACTTTTTTAGGGCTGCAAAACGATTAATCGCGATTAATCGCATTCAAAATAAAAGTTTATGTTTAAATACTACATTTGTGTGTATTGTGTATATTTATTTTGTATATATAAATACACACATAAATGTATATATTTAAAAAAAAATATTTGTATGTATATATATTAATACTTTAAATATAATTTATTTTTCCTTAGTATATAAATGTATGTGTGTGTATTTATATATACATAATAAATATACACAATATACACACATATAGTATTTAAATATAGTATTTAAACATACACTTTTATTTTGAATGTGATTAATCGCGATTAATCGTTTTGCAGCCCGAGACTTTTTTATCACACAATTTGGACTTATTCTCTTGAAATTATGAGAAAAAAGAAAACTCAGAATTCTAAGATGTAAACTTAGAATTGTGACTTTTTCCCTTGCAATTCTGAGTTTATATTTTGAAATGATAACTTTTCTCTATGAATTCTGACTTTACATCTCGCAATTCTATTTATCGCAATTGCAACTTTTTTCTCACAATTGCGAATTTATATCTCGCAATTATGACTGTTTTCTCAGAATTGTGAGGAAAAAATTTAATTGTGAGATAAGTAGTCACAATTAATTTCATCCATCCATCCATCCATCGGTGGAAACAAGCTTCCATACTTTTTGGAACTGGAACTGTCCAGCTTCACAAATAACAAAAATACAACAATAAAGTACTATAAATGTTGTATACCTCCTTTCGTGTTCTGTGAAAGAAAGAAAATCATACAGGTTTGGAATGACATGAGGGTGTAAATGATGGCAGACTTTTCACTTTTGCATTAACAATAATACACATTTAGCGCATCTTGTGATAATAATTGTGATCACATCTCAGCTTCATGGTCTGTATACCACTGGTCAAGGTTTGTAAATTAGCCATCTGTTCATTGGACTGATCAGCCAAAGCTCTTGCTCTCAGGGTTGTCATCTCACTGGCTGGAACCATCACAATTTCTTAAGCATTCCATTTGTGCTATGCTTCCTTAGGCCATACATATTTTATTAACTGTTTAACATTCAAAATGAACTTGAACTTTGTTGATAACTTGTATTTTTGATCAGGGCTAATAGGAGATCAGGGGCAAGTTGGTTGTCACAACCACAGATTGTCAATTTTAACACACACACAAACAAGAAGTCTGCAGTTTTTACTTCTCAAACTACTAAACTGAAGTCTATTAAACAAGTATTTAAATTTGTATGGCCTTCACAATCATATAAAACTCTTTAACAGTTACTGGTTGTATCAGAAATTTTCTAAATGTGTATTTATTATCGCTTTACATCTTAAAATAAATAATATGTCATGTATTATGAATATAGAAAGTGTTTGGTCAATAGTTGTAATCCAAGTGTGCACAAACATACTTATAGCTACAAATGCATTATAGTGTTGATATTTATGTTTGCTGTGTTAAGACTGAGCATTTCGCAAGCATCTCATTAGTGATTTTTGATAAAGATGTTTTATTTGATGATGAGTGAGTGCATTTCAGCTGAAATGTGTATGCTATTGAAACACCTCGCCTTAGTAAGTGAACATGTATTTACGCTTTTAGTGTTGCAACACTCTGTCAGGTACGTTTTTGCTCCCTTAAGGATTTAGATGATAGTAAGGGCTGTTTGTGAAGGTTTCAGTTTGAACTTGAAATTACTTTTGATTTATTTTACTTGTTATTTTTTTCTATGAGTTGCATTAACGATATCATTTTCTGTAGATACATGAGACCGTAAAGATACTTTTATTAACCCAGCAAGTGATATATCTTTGGTGTTATGGAAGTGTTGCATATAATTTTGCATTAATAGTTTTGCAAGTGTAATACATTTTTGCATGTTTATGTATGTTTCTAAATTATTTGATGAATTTCCGTTATTCTGTTGCATTGTAAGTGTTCGATTTTTTGCCATGGTTGACTGTTTAAATATCTTTGTTTGGTGTTTTATGCTTTATTACAATGTGTTTACTTGGGGTTTTGTTGATGCAATATGAAGTTTACATCCATTATACAGCTTTCACTGCCACTCAGCCTGAGATTAATGCATTTAGATTTCCATTGACCTCGAATTTAGCAAAATGACACAATTTATTGAAACTGATATGATGCTTGAGGAGTTGTGTTAGCTATAAGTAAGAGTGCATTCTGAATGTACAAAAATCCTTCCTCTTACTTTTGAGTCACTAGAAAATGCTGGATGGCTGGTGTTTGATTAATTGTGGATTTAACATGTAAAAATGATTTAAAGCATACAGTTTACCTCTGACTCAAAGCCAAAAGAAAATACACTGTAAAAAAGACCAAATAATAGCACAATGTAATGCTGTTTTTCCCTGAAAATCTTACATTATGTATAATGTAGAATTTGGCATAGTCTGTTCATGATACTTGACACCAAACTTTCATACATCGACCTACCTGTCCTTGAGTTATTAAAAATATGAATTCAGTAAAATGACTGAATCCTCTATTGAAACCGAATCCACTTGAATCCTAACCCTGACCTCACTGTAAATGTCATTTGTGCCTTTTCTAGTTTGGGTGTGTTTCAGAACAGTTCGAGGCTTTGATTTGCTCTGCATAAAAAATGTGAACCTTTCATATGAAGGTATTTGTGATTGTGATTTTGCTGCAATGTTTGTATTGCCCCAGTTTTTGTATTTGTATTAAGACCATGTTATATCACATCAATGCTTTTTTATCAAGGAAACGTCCTCCGCTCTGAATCATTATTTGACTCCTGCATTCAATGCATTTTCTCTGTCTGTGGCTGATCAATAAATGCGAAGAAAAAACTTGCACACTGATGTAATGTTATACACGCTTTTGAACTGATCATTCATTACATTATTTAAGTGTACTTATATAATACTTTTTACTGTAAGTCACAGTTAGTGTTAGTGTACAATTTTCACATTATAACCAAATTATTCTCTATAAAATCCATGTTCTTTGCTGTCTACTGAAATAGACTGAACATTTCTTGGGTAACATTTAATGTAAATGTCATTTCATCTGCCTTTACATAAATCATATGTTCTAATTGATCATGTCAAAATTCAGTAGAAATTAAATTTACAACATCAACAAACATCTGTAGGCTATAGATAATTGTAATATCTAATCCAGCAGCTCCACCACCACGCCACCAGATGTCGCAGTTTTAGTTTGGTTTACTTAGCTGTTGCTGCCTTGTGATCATTTTCTGTTTTTCAGTACAGGCTTTGAAAGAATGGCAAAATTTTGAGAGAAAGAGGCATTTGCTTAAGGATTATTCATTTTGATATCAGGGATCAATCCATTCTACCTGTACAGATTTAAACACTAACATTTCATTTCACAATTGAGTGTGAGCCAAAATGTCCTGGGATTTAAATGTGTATGCTTCTTTCTGATCTGCCGAATGTCCCAGTAGAGGGCCAACTGTACACCCTCAGGAAACTACAAATCTATTAGTCATTCCACTCCACTTAATTATTCATAGAGATCTGCCATGTTCTTAAAAGATATTTTCAGTAAAGTGCCCAAATTACATTAAATGGCTATTCCCAATCTCCCTTATGAACATTTGCATAACATCCATTTTTTAACCGTTGAATTTGTCATTGTAAAACAGTTTTGACTTCTTTTTAACTGCTGTTTCTATTAAACAAACAAATAGTATAGCCAAAATAATTGTAATAAAAAATAAACAAATAAATACATTAACTCACTCCACAGAAAGATGTGTGGATCTTACAGTTAACATTGAAGTGCATGCTAGTTAGGCCTGCTGTTAAGATTAGTTCATTCTGTTCTGAATGTGAGTGTTCTCTTTCAGAGTATGGGTGTTCTCTCCTTATTTGTTCAGAAATAGCGAGTACATAAATATGGATCATAGCCATCTGAATATAGCTCAGTAGAGCTTAACTAGGCTATGCATTTGCACACACACAGTGACACCAAAGAGTATATTCAAATTCTGCAATTACTTTTCATCAACTGGTGTGGTATTTTTAGTGGATGCATTAAGTCATCGTAAAAAGAAGAGCATATTTTCAAAGAGAGTAGAATCATGCACATTTAAAGAATATAGTGTAAGTTTATTGCATGTTATTTGCAACTACATGAAAATGTATTAGGCTATAGTTTACAATATATGCAATTAGGTGAACTTAATATTTATTTTGACCCACTTACAGTACATCTTTACAGGTAATTTCATAATTCTATTGTCTCATAAATATTCTGTTGTTTAAATATGGTTACTGCTGAATGTACTGGCAAGCATTTACGGTAAACTAAAATATATTTTACTATCATTGCTTTCTAAACTTGTATGTCATGTGCTATTTAAATATATGCTATTTGCAATGCTGAAGTTGCAGTTTAGGACATTTGAAATATAACCACTTTAAATTTAATATGAAATAAAACTAAATTATAATCACATACTTACATATGCTTCAGTATGTTAGTCAACACATCAACATTTTTCTATAAAACATGACAAAAGATTAATTAAACATGGTTTAAAGGTAAAACATTTAATGTACAACAAAGTGGACTTTTTAAAAGTGTTCTTAAGTGTGTAGGTCTGTACTCTCTTTAAGTATACTTATGTGGTCTTTATGTGGGCACTTACTTCAGTAACATTAGGCTATATTATATAAATGCAAGTAGGCCTACATTTATTTAAATACATGCTTTTAAGATCTGAAGTGTGTATATACAATTAAGCACACTTCTTTTTCAAGTTCAGAAAGGTGTTGTAGAAAACTAACCAGTAGTTTGTTACATCAATATTGAATTAATCTTGGACAGTATTAAAACATATTTGAAATACTATTTTAATTGGCCGGCATGGGTATGACGCCATTTAATTTTAGCGAATGAAAACGAGGCTCCTCACTGCAGAACACAAGATCCAGGGGGCGTGGTTGGATCCACATCTAGGGGGTGGAGATGGGTAGGTTTAGGGGTGTAGATGGGTGGGTTTAGGGATCAGGGGGTGGAGACGGGTAGGTTTAGGTATACGTAAGGTGGGAGGAGTTGGATCTGGATCCACGCCCCCTGGATCTTGTGTTCTGCAGTGAGGACAATCTCAAAAGTCCCTGTCAGGTCACGTTTTCTAGAAGTTTTATTTTTATTTTATTTTATTTTATTTTATTTTGATCGAAAGCAAAGTAAAAACAAAAAACAAAAACAAAAACATTACGACCGGTTCAACAGACTGCATGTCTGTCAAAATACAGCCTCGTTTTCATGTGGCACACCGTCCGCCTGTCTAAACATCTATACGCTACAGTGCAAGCGTAACAATACGCGAGAGCTTCGAGTTCTCGGTTCGGCGTTTTCCGGCTGCAGTCGGCTCAGGGAATGCAGACGACGAAGCATGCAGACTCTAGTGTTGCCAGTGGAGACGGGCAAATAAAAGAAGGGATAAACAGCTCCAACGACTGCCCAAGAAGAGCGCCGAAAAATAAAACCAGCAGGTAAATCATTCAGAACACACCACCAATAGATTTTTCAATATTGATTTATGTTTGACGCCTCACTATTACTGTACAGGTATACGTTGTCGCATTCCATGACAGTGACTGGGCGGACCTAAACTGTATCCCACCGGCCCGTAGAGCTAATTAACATATGAGCAAGAAGAAATACTGGCAAATGTCAATAATAGGAGTCAAGCGAGCGGCTTGTAAGGGATCAGAGCTCTGAGACTGGCTGGCGGAGCCCCGTTAAGACGCACAAGCGGATTAGGACTGGCGAGCAGGTGCCTTTGTTGGCTCGCGCCGTTGCTAGTGGAGACCCGCAGTAGCCCGACGCGCTTCTTTAAAATTAATGCATATAAATGAGCGTCTCTTCAGCAAACGGGGAATAAAACGCGCTTGACAGGTAAGAAATATTCTGCTACCTCGAGTTTGATGTTTTTGGTAGTCTTTTCATGAACAAAAATTAAACTTTCGTCAGTTAAAAAGTGTTGATCTTATGCAAGCGCAGTTACATTATAGTTCAGTGTAAAATGTTTATGTAGGTTAAATTATTCATTCACGTTTAATGCCCTGTGCCTTTAAGAATCATAAAACGGTTTGTTTAAATAATTGTGCGCATAACAGAAGGGTGCAGAAAGGGAACACTTTAGATGTACGCAGTACCTGATAGATTATTTAAATGAGGGGCAGCATGTCAACTACATGCAGTTTGTGAATAGGCTTCACGAGCGCACAGTGAAGTATTTTCACGCTCGAGCAGATGGTCTCCGTTCAGACTGCCGAGTAGTGGGGATTTTAGCTGATGCAGTCTCTCTCTCTCTCTCTCTCTCTCTCTCTCTCTCTCTCTCTCTCTCTCACACACACACACACACACACACACACACACTAGGTGTTTCTCATGTCTGCAGCATTGGATACACTCATCTCTGCAGTCTGTCTATCTATCTATCTATCTATCTATCTATCTATCTATCACCCATCTCTCTCTAATCATCATACAACGAGCGGCTATAATTTTCTAATGTAAATTTTGGATTATTGAATATTGAGAATGATTGTATCATAGCTGCCCAGATCTATTCCTCATAGTTTCCATCAAGCTGTATTTTCCATAATATACTTGGCAACATCCCTGTTTGCTTTATCCAAAAATTTAGCCTTGCCCATCCTGTCTATTTCTATCTGCCTTTCTGACTCTAGGTGTGTGTGTGTGTGTGTGTGTGTGTGTAAAAAACTCATCTATATCTCTGGTTGTACAGTACTGCAATGTTCCACTGACTAAAACCAACATTAGATTATAGAGTTGAAATTAGATGACAAGCTTACTGTAGCCTACCTTATTGCATATCTAGCAAAAAGCTTTTGAAGCATCTTAGTTTAGTTTAGTTATCTTTGAGACGTTGCCACAGTTCTTCTGGATTTAGTCTGTATCAGTTTGTTCTGTTTCTTCATGTTATTCCAGACAAACTGGATGATGATCAGATCAGATCTCTGTGTGGAGCACTGGCTGTTGTCAAACTCCTTGTGCAAACACAAATCTCACTGGATTATTACAATTAATGGCAAAATGAATGTTTGGAAATGTAAACTGATATTTCCTACTGACACACTAAAGCAAAAGACAGAAATAACGGACTTAAACCCATTTTTTAGCTGGTGAAAATACCAGTGTTCTAATAATTTTGGCCACCACTGTAAATGTATAAATAAGGTTCAAAACTCAACTTGTCAGCTCTCTGGTGTCAGTTATTACAATTTGTTGTTTTCTCAGTTCTAGGAGTTTTTTAACCAATGCGAGTTCCGGCACCATGTTCTACGGTTCCTCATCTGCCAGCATGTCTCTGCCATCCAAAAACCGCCTGAAGCGTCAGAGTCGCACTTTTACCCAGGTTCTGTACCGGACACTAAGTTATCGGGATCGTCGTTCTGTGACTGACCTACCTGAGCAGGTACGGGACGATCCAGCTGAGCTTTCCACCCAATCATCTGCACCAGGTGTGCTGAAGATATTTGGTGATGAAATCAGCACCGGCGCTAACTACAAAAGTGTTCTCGCCACACCTCGTTCCAGTGCCCAAGAGTTGATCAAAGAGGCGCTTGAGCGCTATTCTCTAAACAAGGCCTCGGCCTGTAGCTATGTGTTATGTGACGTGATTGGCCGGTTTGAGGGCCCAGATCGACGGTGGCGGACTGAGTGCCTTCGGGCGCTAGGAAACAACGAGAAACCCCTCCTCTTGCAGGACCTCTGGAAGCCAAAAGAGGGTTACTCTCGCCGCTTTGAGCTCAGGCGAAGAGCTGAGGTCGAGGAACTGGCAGCCAAAGAGAAAGACACAGTCACTGCAGGTAATGCACAAATGCATTCACTGAGAAACATATGCTCAGTAGAGGACGTTCTTGTTGTGTGATTGTATTTTCTAATTAACTGAAACAGGAAAATCCAGTACAGCAGAGCGGAAAAGCACACAAGAAAGGTTATGCTTAATTTTAGTATTTACCTTTCAAGACATCTGAATGAAAACATTATATTACAATTACTGGACCAAGACAGAAACATTATAACTATTTGAAAATTTGATGTTTTAAGGAATGTTTAGAGATATAAAGTATACAAATAATTTATTTAAATGAAAAGAACAATTATAGTACACAATTATCTAGTAACAATTATAATTTTAACAACATGTAGTATACATGTAGTTTAATGTAGTAAATTATAATTATATAATAAATAAAATTCAGATTTTTGTCTGGAACGCAGTATACTGTCATGATCAGTATTAAGCTAATCTTTAGCTTTCAATCCAATCATACTGTTATGATTAAAATAAAAATCAAATACTGTTTTTCTTGTGTTTCTTATAATGCGGCAAATTTATTCAGAAAATGTTTACGCTAAAACTTTGACAGCTCTAATAGTTCAATATTATTGGGTATTTCAGATGATTGGATAAGTCAGAAGCGGGAAATTGGAAACTTCCGACCGTAATACTTTCCAGTTAATCACACACATTTTTTTCACATAATGCCAATTATGGCAAAGATAAATATCATGAACACAAAATGCTTGCATTAGTAAAAAATAGCTTACACTCAGCAAGAAAGGTATCTACGCTATGAACATAATGTTGTACGATGCTCTTCAGTCGCAACCATCTTTGAAATGACATCAGTTCACACTTTGAGTGTGTTTTCAATCTTTCCAATCATTATTTTTAAGTTTGAGGTTCCATAGTTGTTTGGAATAATGTAGTATTACCATGTTGTAAACAATATTAAGCTAATCGTTAGCTTCCAGACTAACCACACTGTTAGGATTAAAATAAAAATGTAACACTATACTTCTCTTATTTTGAATTATAATCTTGTTTTTAAACATTTGGTAGCCCACATTTGCAAAACAGAAGCTTAAAATCTGCTATTACATCACTCTTTTTAAGTGCTGATAACTGGAGATAAGAGTTGTGTTGAACGTATCAGTACTATCAACACTGTGGTGCTATAATAACTGCCACTACATCTTAATTGCTCTTTGACGTTCAGGGCTGCTCAGGTTCACTAATGCCGACACACAGATGTCAGAGCAGGTGCCCGAGATAAATGCACGATTGGGTCTGCAGTAGTATGGCCGGCCTCCAGTAGTTGAATTGAGGTCTCAGTTTCACTATTTTATTTGTGCTCTTTTATTGCAGACTAGTCATAACACTGCCATGCAACTCTCTCACACTCTATCTCTCTCTTTCTGTTTGTGCCTGGATGCTTTTGTACTAAATTACAAATTCAACAGGGTGGCCATTGAGCCAAAACACAGGGTGGAAGTTAAATCAATATCAGCAGGCACATTACTCAGGATAATTTATCCTCAGGTTGAACTGCTTTTCTTCCTGGTGAGGTGGAGAGAATGCATGTGTGTGTTGGTTTCTTAGTGTAGCTGTACTTTGGGGCCAAATTTGTCCCTATAAGTGTGCTATTTTTGATAAAACCTTCCTTTGGAGACATCCTCAATTGGAATTTGTATATAGATTTGTATTATTCTAAAATGCAAAACGTTTTTATTTAGGGTTAGGAGGATTAGGATCATGCAGTACTATTTAGAATTATCTTTAAATTAAAAATTAAGAGTCCTAATTTTGATTGCTTTATAAGGTTAGTTTGTCGATTTTCAAACAGCTTTGTATTGTTGCATCGTTGATTTTCAACCAGCTTTGTGTTGTTACAATGTTAGTAGCATATGTACTTTTTCTCTGTAACCTAAACCAAGATATTCCCATTTACTTTTCAAGCAACAGTCGGCCACATGATGTTTTAGACAATTTAGCTGACTTTTGAAAGTTTCAGTTTTAGGGGTTTTGTGAAAACTACAGATCGTACTTCCACGTTTTTGTATTCCTGTTCACAGACAACCGGATTAAACCCAGTGCATTATGGGTGTTGAAGTTGTCCTGTCTATATTCGCCACAGCCCCTTTTCTCTGTTTTCTGTAGTCAAAAATGCCTTTTACCACACTGACACCCAACTTTTATTAAAAAAAACTGTGAATTGGTCCTTTAAGGTCACTCTACACCCAGTTAGCTCTAAAACATCTGGTTTGTGTAACTAGAAGCTCTAGTTAATCTTACTTGTTGGAAGAATCATCTGCTCAAGTAATGCATTATTGGTATCCTGGGAATTTTCCCAATTATCGTAAGCTTGCTACTGTTTTATTTGGTGCATAATTTCTCATGGGGTGCATGTTGTATATACACATTTATTGTCGTTCTTGTCTACATGTGACTGCATTTTAATTAATGAAAATGTCACAGGCTTATTTGGGGATCTTAGTCGTTAAGCTTGTTCAGAGTGGTCTTCTTAAACTTGGCTTAGTGTCCTGCTGTTTCTTCACGGGAAGAGACGCTGCTGCTCCTCACGTTGGGACTGTTCTCAAAAATGAATGTGTCTAGTGATTTTCACAGTCAATCAAAAAGGCAGTGATGGTTGAGAAGGTGCAGGCATTTAGATCAAGGGTTTATGAAGGTCACAGATGAGTAAAGGTGAAGAAGGGTTGGGGGATTACATTTGCAAGTCAGCACACCATCTGCACACACACATATTACTCAGTGACAGATGCTACTGGGGGCTTTATGGATAGTGTTGAGGTATTTACCAACACATGCACGTTTTATAACAGGTTTGGATTGACAGTTATGTCTGCATTAGCACCATGTCAGAATATTGTAGAACGATGATTAAATTGGCCTATTCCAGTTCATTCCTATATCAAAAGTTTCTTGAATAACCAATGGTTGCTGTCACATCAATTCCGTGTCTTCTCGTATCTTTAAAAATAATTGTAGAATCTATTATAGAGCCAAAATCACATGAACTGCTACATTATTAAAAATAAAGATTAAAAAAAATCTTCATTTTTCACAGCAATGCCATAGAAGAAACCATTTTGGTTCCCCAAAAAACCTTTCAGTAAACAGTTCTTAAAATAACCATTTTTAGTCAGTGTGAAGAACATTTTGAAGAATATTTTTCTAAAGAAACTTTTTCCACTATGAAGAAGCTTTTGTGCAGTGGAAGTGCTCCATGAATGATAAAGGTTCTTCATGGAAGCATAGATGCCAGTGAAGAATCTTTATTTTTAAGAGTGGAGATGGCGTTAAATATTAGCTCAGATTCAACATCTATGCTGCTATGCATCACAAGAAAATGTAAATAGAGGATAATGGTAAAATTTGCTTGCTTGAGTGAATGAATAGAATTATGTGTGTATATTCATGTTTTTTTGGTGATTTGTATTTGTTGTGGTGTTTACCCATGCCCAGGGACTCACACAAACTCCCCTGTGCTATCTTCAACCTTGAGTAGAAGTGGGCATGGTAGATGCCATCGGAGCTCCCCCCGGGGCTGGCGTTTGATACAGCCCTGTACAACTATTGTTAAAGGTGGGGACTGTCCTCAGGTATGGTGTCAGCCACCAGCCCCACCTCCATATACAATACCATTACTTTGCAGACCCATTATTTACCGCATTGCTACATGCACCAGTCAAGTGCTGACTTCCTATACCCAGCATTATACCACCATTTATTACCCCCTATGCAATTATTAGTCACATCCCTCATTGCATGTCCCTATTGGACAAGAATATTATCCTTACTTTATCATGCCTCTATATATTCGAATTTATATATTTGGAAATATTTTCTATTTATAAAATCCCAAATTAGCTTGGAATTATTAAAATGTTTAATGTTTTTGAAAGAAGTCTCACCAAGGCTGCATTTTTTAAAATAAAAAAATACAGTAAAACAGTAATATTGTGAAATATTATTACAATTTAAAACAACTGTTTTTTTTTATTTGAATAGATTTTAGAGTATAAATTATTACTGTGATACAAAGATACTGTGATACAAATTTTCAGCCATTACTCCTCTCTTTGGTGTCACATGAGCATGTGTTAAATGCATAACTGTAATACATAGATATATCAATTCAGAATTTAATTTGGGCCTAAAGAATGTAGGCCTAGTATCTTTTTGCAGAGGTCATATTAAACAGCTAGTTTATCCAAAAATTCAAGAAAAATGTCCTCACTTACTCACCCTTATGTCATTCCAAATCTGTATTAATTTTATGATTTTCTTTTGGGAACAAACAAAATAAAATGTTTTAGCAATATGTTTACACTGTTTTTTCCTAGACATTGAATGGGTATGTGAGCTTAGATATTACAAAAAAGCACCAAATGTACCATACCATTAGTCAGTATGACATGTGCACTATTTTCCATATCATACATTTGCTTTGTTTAAAATGAGGTTACTTAGTATGGCATACAACCTGCAATGTTTATCTTTATTACACTTTGCATTTCACCTCCACATTCACTCCTTTTTGTGCATTGTTGTCCTCTAATTCTTTAAATATACTTGTGTGTATTATCATGATTTAAGATCACTGGAAACTTCTAATAACAGACAGCACAAATAAAAGTTAAATGTATTTTATATTTCTAGTTATATTATTATTATTATTATTTTTTTTTTTTGAACAAACAATTTTGAGTCAGTATGTATTGTTAAGCTCATCTGTTCAATTAAACCCCATATGGTTAGTTTTTGGCTGATGACAATGAGTCACAATTACCTAAGTGGTTTTCTCTCCCCGACAGATATCAATGCTCAAGCAAGGAAGCTACAAAGAAACCGTGCTAAAGGAACAATGACACTCCAGCACAGCTCCTCATTTTGCCGCAGCCTCAGTGAAACCAGCCTTAACTTGGTGGGTCTGCCTGGTGAGGAGCCTAAACGGTACTACTCCACCCTCCCACGGCCAATCAGAACACGCTCGGCACGAGACGCTGAGACCCAAAAAGAACGAGATGGGGGCAGAGTTAAACACTCTCTCTACCAATCACCACACTTGCTGCTCCTTCAAGGGTACAACCAACAGGTATAAGCAAAAATCACCTATAAATATCTATCTATCTATCTATCTATCTATCTATCTATCTATCTGTCTATCTGTCTATTGGTCTATCGGTCTATCTATCTATTGGTCTATCTATCAGTCTGTCTATCTCTATCTTAAGATTATAATACTACAGTATTCAGCAAGGCTGCATTAAATTCATCAAAAGTGGCAGTGAAGCCATAATGTTATTAAACATTTTGTATTTCATATAAAATTCCTTTTGAACTTATGTTGGAAGCACCATTCTTTATATTCATATCCATATTCTTGAGCACCAAATAAGCATATTAAAATGATTTCTGAAGGATTATATCACTGAAGACTATAGTACCGGCTGCTGAAAATTCAGCTCTGCTATCACAGGAGTAAATTGCATTTTACAGTATAATAAAATAGAAAACAGTTATTTTAAATTGTAATAATATTTTACAATATTACTGTTGTTACAGTATTTTTCAACAAATTAATACAGCCTCGATGAGCATAAAGAGACTTTTTTTTTTTAAACGTCAAATTGTCCCCCAATCCCAAACATTTGAATAGTGCATACTATATTACATTATAAAATGAAATAAGGGTCAACTTTGATTTGATATGTCGCATAAGAATGTTTTTAAGCCGTTTTTAAGGTTTTTTATTGCTTCTGTCTTGTATTTCTAGAGTAATTGTTGAGTCTTGTATTGTTTGCTTTTCTTTCGTTTTGTCAGGATTGCCTGGTTTACCTGTTGAATCGAGAGCAACACACAGTTGGTCAGGAAACAGCGTCAGCACGGCCAAATATCTGCCTGTCATCTCCGGATGTGCTTCCACTTCACTGCCGAATACGTCGTGCACCGCAACGGCGCTCTTCCTCGGACCAGCGATTACTTCTGGAGCCCGTCGCTCACGGCAATGTACTGGTTAACTTCATGCGTATTGAGCGGCCCACTCCACTACGTCATGGGGATTTGCTGTCCTTTGGTGCTCATTACATCTTTCTGTACAAAGACCCACTCAGTGCGAAACCTCTTCCTGCCCAAACTCTCACTCGACTTCGGGCGCTGGCACGACTATGCGATAGCGAGTCGGGGACTGTGCCTGAGAAAGGGGACGCATGTCGTATGTGTGGGGCCGTATTACATGAACCAGTGGTGTCTCGGCGCAGCTCTAAGGCTCCTGCACGAGCTGCACAGAAACGAAAGCTCACGCTGGAATTTGAGCGGGCTCACGAGGATGCGCTGGTGAACCGGGTGCTGACACTTATTGAGCCGAGCGGAGATGACCACAAGCTGACACCAGCATATTTGCTTTGTCTATGCATCAAGCACTCAGCAAATACATTTCCACCTGGCAGCTTCGGTAAACTATTGCTGAAAATTGCCAAGAGGATTCAGACCATAGCATGGGTTCGTACTGGCATCAACAGCTTAGTTGTGTTTGTGTTATTTTTTCCATGTTAAAATACTTCTATACAAATTTAATGTGCAGAGACAAATAAAAGTAAGTTAATTTTAGGTTTATTTCCCTGAAAAGTACGTACGGATGCACAATATACTGGTATATTGGATATTTACTGTAGGCTAATTGATCCATATTGGTTGGTATCTGACATGACACATGACATGAGGATAAAATGAATTTATTGTGGCCACAATTTAAGAATTACTTCCCATAAATTAGGAATTTGTTTCCTTGTTTTATTAATTTGTTCCCTCTTAGTTAAATCGTGGCCACAAATTAGGAATTCGACAACTTATTCATTTGTTTGCCCGTTGTAGTACATAGTGGCCATGTTTGTTATAATTGGTTCTCTGATTTTCATTTAAATAAAAGTGGTTTTGATTTAATACAACATAGCCATGATTAACTTAAACGAGCAAAAAAATTCTTAATTCATGGCCACGATTAACTAAAACTAGGGAACAAATTCTTCATCCGTGGAAACTAATTCTTAAATTAGTATATATTTATATATATAAAAATATATTTTTGTCTGCATGTCATGTGCAGGGCTCCTAGACCAATAAATATCAATAAATTAAATATCCAATATGGTATCAATATATTGTACTTTTCAAGGAAATAAACAAAAATTCTATTCATCATACGATATTTTTATATTTAGGTTACCTTTACCATCATCTAATGCTCACTTAAAAGTAATTAAATTATTAAATAAAATAAAGAAAATATTGTTAAATGTAATCTTGAATCTCAAAATGAATAACAGTTTTTACTGTACATTATAATGTTGTCATGTCTAAATTTGCTTGTACCATATAAAACAATTGATTTTATTATTTAGGAAATTATGCACTTTACCTTTTAGAAAAGTATTGTTTGAAAATGTTAATTTCTTGCAGTAAATACCTGCGTTTGGCCTACTCAATGGTCTGTCACCTAAATCCAAACTACATTTCCCACAATTCCTCCAACTGTTACACTGTAGTCGATATCATGTCAGTGAGACTGATTGTATTTCAGTATGGGAGAAGAAAATGATGGAAAGGCAAACAAAGCAAGTTTTGTCTCTCCATGACATTCCAGTGATTGATTTACGTTGCACTTCAAAAAAATTTTAGATAGTGCATCTTTGCAATGTCCAAGTGCAAGTGTGTTTTTTATTTACATAATGCTCAGCAAAAGCATTAGCATGATGAGGATAAATCCCATTGATTGATTTTCTGCTGTGAGGGTCAGTACTGCAAGTCACCTCACATGCCCTTGTCTTTGTTGACAAATGCATTCGCCTATGTTGATTTAAACACTACAAAATTAGTTGAATCGTGTAATTTGTGAACATCCGTTTAACCTAGTCCCAACTATCCTGAAGCATTTAATGACTGTCTTTAAACTCATTAATTATTAAAATCCAATTTTAGAAGGTCAGCCGTCAGCTCTAATATTAACCAGCCAAAGAAAAGAGCAAGGACGAAAAGTCTGAAAACGTAGAAACGATACCAAGGTATTATACCTCCCACGTGAAGCTATTCAAAATTTTATGACATTAATTGCCGTCGGTGTCTGTGTCTCGCAGGAGAAGACAAAGGAGTTGGCACAGAAGCAAGCTCAGCAGTGAGTATCATGTTCCGCCTTATAATACGCACATGTGTGCACTTTGAACGCGTGACACTCTAAGGTCATGCGGTGCTGAATAGGCCGTCACTAATTCTGAAGGCATTGTCACTGAATCGAACCGATGAATGTGTGTTTTTGTGTGGTTATACAGTCAAGATCCTGCCTCGCTGTCTCTGCTCAGCATCTCAGACCTAGTACCGGATCTCCAGTTCATTTTCTTCTGGATGTCCAATGCCATCGAAATACTGTATTTTATCCAGCAGAAATCACCTGCGTACATGCAGACTATTGAGCTCATGGATGATAAAGGTATGAAACACACTCTGCATGGATTGAGAACTGGGTCTATAGGGCCCAATACTGACAAAATTAAAAACACTAAATAGACAGGAGGATTAGAGGTTGTAAACGACACATAAAATACTGCATTCGTCTAATTGTATTTTTTTTATGTTCCTTATTGCAGCGGGATCTAAAGAATCTCTCCTCTCAGCAACAATATCAGCAAACGAAGAAGCTATGACCATACTAGAGGAAGTGATCATGTACACCTTTCAGCAGTGTGTTTACTACATCACTAAGGTAAAGGGTAGTATTACGGTATATGTGTGGCGCCACCATTGTAAGATGTTACCAGGGCTGCTGGGAATGAATTATTTAATGTGTGTGTGGCTGCTGGTTTGCTTGTATGTCTTTAGGTCTTCTTCTCCTCCACCTCATGTCCTCATTGTCTTCCCTATTTGGAGCCTGTCAATCATTTTAGATTCATAAAAGTAGTAGTTAATAATAGTAATAGTAATTAATAGTATTTATTAGTAGTTAATAGTAGTTATTTACTTAATGATATGGTAGTTAATTTCCTAAATGAATCACAGCTTATCAAATAACAGTATTTTGAATAATAAAATGATAATTAAAAGGACATTACGTTATTGTACCAAATGAGTAAAAAATGTAATACTTGTTACAAACAGTGGATGTAGAGGTCAATTTATGTAGTTTTATTTACTTTTCAAAAGTTTCGGGGTCAGTAAGGGGTAATTTTTTCTTTTCTTTTCTTTTCTTTGTTAAAGAAAGAAAATAATATTTAATTATTCGGTATGTATTAAATTGATCAGTATGCATTAAAATAAACATTCTATTAATGAACCATGATATCACGGTCAATGATATCACGGTTTCCACAAATATATGAAGCAGCACAACTCTTTTCAACATTGGTAATAATAAGAAATATTTCTGAGTACCAAATCAGCATATTACAATGATTTTTTTTGATTGTTTATTTATAACATATGGCTTACAATAACTATACACAAGGCAGGGTTTGCATTAAAAAATGATATATATATATATATACATACACACATATATATATATATATACATGCGGGTGACATGACAAATCTATACACACCTGGAATACCAACTATTTATCTTTCATCGAGTTATTGTATAAGAAAATTTTTCAATAAATTCTGACCATTATTCGAATGATTTCTGAAGGATCAAGTGACAAAAGAAAATGTGACAAAAGAAAATAATAAATTCATACAGGTTTGGAATGACATAAGGGTGAGTAAGTGAGGACATTTTCTTGAATTTTTGGATAAACTAGCTGTTTAATATGACTTTGGCAAAAATATATTACATTCTTTAGGGACAAACTAAATTCTGTATTTATATATCTATATATTACAGTTATGCATTTAGCAATTGCTCATGTTACACTAAAGACTGGAGTAATGACTGAAAATGCAGCTTTCCCATCACAGGAAATGAATCACATTTTAAATATATTACAAAAGAAAACTTAAATTGTAATAATATTTAACAATATTATTGTTTTTTACTGTATTTTTGATCAGTGTCATAAGGACAATTTTTAATGAATTAATCATTCTATGTTAGATAATACATTCAATTGACAGCTCTATAAATATTGTGTATATGTAGGTGTCTGGTTGTTCATGTTATTATAACAAATGGCTGTTCTTTACATTTCAGACCTTGTACGTTGTGTTGCCCGGGCTGTTGGACTGTAACCCATTTGGGACGGAGTCTGCATCAGAGCACTGCCGGCGGGCTGTTGGAGTGTGTGTGTGTGCTGTGTGTGTGATGCCAGAGGCGGTTCGCAGGGTGGTGAGTGTGTTTCAGACTACATCAGACCTGCTGCAACAGTACCAGGTCCATTCAGAGATTCAGAGTCAAATGTTTGCCTACCTCTTCTTCTTCACCAACGTCTCACTCTTCAATCAACTCATCGATAAAGGTTTGTTCAAGCTCAGCTTCCAGAATCTTTTTACCTGTTTGATTTCTGTGTAGCACACACACAGACTCAAGAGACACACTCAAATATTACTGTCATATATTTTCATTAAGCATGCTGCTATGGCAACAACAGGACATAGGTAGTGTGTCAATTGCAGGCAGAAGAAAAAGGGGTGAAAGACTTACAAATAAAGAAATATCAGAATGGAAACTGATGAATTGAAACAAAGTATTTATTCTGCCCTCTAGTGTTGAAGATACTCTAACCTGTGAGCCAATGGACTTTCTCCATCAGTTCTTAGGGAATAAATATTTACTTTTTAATTAATAATTTCTTTTTTTTCATGGTACATGAGAAGAAATATTAAGCAGAATGTCCAGACTGCTCTTCTAATACAAAAATATCAGAATTACAAAGATGTAAGATAGCAAGTCATTGTTCACTTGCTTAACTTTAAGATTATTTCAATATTAATTCAGTAATTGATTCATATATTAAGGAAGATTTTTTAAGTGAGATTTTTATTAGTGAGAAATTTAAGTATAGTAAACGATGCAAAATTATTTTAATATTTTATTTTATTGAAATATTAAAATTATTTGGGAAGAATGTTCACCAAGGTGAATTTGTGAATTTATTTGATCAAAAATACAATAAAACTGTAGTATTATGATATATTATTACAATTTCAAATAACCATTTTCTGTGTGAATATAATTTAAAATGAAATGTATTTCTATGATGGCAAAGCTTAATTTAGTGACACATAATCCTTTAGAAATAATTCTAATATTCTGATTTGGTGCTGAAGAAACATTTCTTATTATTATCAAAGTTGAAACCAGTTGTGCTGCACTCATTCATTCAGAAAACTAAAAAAATTCAAAAGAACAGCATTTATTTGAAATATAAATAAATGTAACTAGGGTTTGAAATTAACAACCGCCAAATGCAGGTAAAAATCAGCTGTGGCGGGTAACGCTGTCACTAGCCAATTTGGCGGGTTACTTTTTGTAAGTTATGTTCACTCATTCATTTCTTGGGGAAGTTCATGCAAGCCAAATCTGCGCAGGTTTAGGTCAAATACTGAACTCATTACATTATCGAGAATATTGCAAACACCAAACAAAATGTTGATACTGATTTCATTTGTTTAGTAACAGCCTAAATGTATTATTATTATAATTGACTGATTAAATGTAAGAATTTGACTCAAAAGATGATGCACACTTTTAGAAAAAATGGCTTTATAAAGCCAAGGTGAAAATGCCCATAGAGGTAAACATCAATTTAAACTTATTGGAAAAGATTAATTTCTATCACTGCTGTGAACTGACCACACAAAATATGAAATATATCAAAAACTTTAGGAGTCAGCTGTCCACGTTATTCCTTAAGATATCAGCACAATAACACACTCAGCAAAATATGGTCTAATTATCTTTATCGATAAAATTCCAGAAAATATTGAGATATTATTTTTTGTCAATATCGCACACCCCTAGTTCTGACACAAAATGATTTGCAGCGGTCGCTTTGTCACGTTCAGTGTAGACAGCCTCAAGCTGTTTGTTTTTTTGTGGGTTTTTCTTTTTTTTTTTTGGCTAGTAGAAGTTATGAATGGCCGATAACTTAAAAATGTTGTAGCCAAATTGGCTGGTGAGTGAAAAAGTTCACTTCAATCCCTGAATGTAGCATTATAAATGTCTTTACTGTCACTTTTGATCAATTTAATGCATCCTAACTTTTGAACAGCAGTGTATGTTTAAATCTAATGTATTTAATGACCACAGTTGTTTTTGAAATTATTTTGTCACTATTGCGTGTTGCAAAACCAGAACCAGTTTCCTTTTTTAAAGGGTAGTGCGAAACATATGTCGTTTTTGTGTGCATTACTCGCGGTCAGGTGAAGATTATTTCTCCAGACACCCATAATCCTCTTTATGTCATAACAGACAGAGGATCAGAGCTGGTCTTACACACAAACACCCACTTACACTCACACAATTTGACATGCAGTACTGTAATAAACCGTGACTACAGTTGTGACTATTCACTGGAACCATCTTCATTTTATCACCAGTATTACAGTATGCCATGATTCTGAAAAGTGTTTGTTTAGTGTTTTCATATGCATCCTTTGCATAACAATTGTATGTGTAAATGTGTGTTTTAGGCCCCGTGCGTGGCTGGTTTCAGCGTTCTCGGGTCCTGCAGATCCAGGCTAGTGTCAAGATGCTACTGGACTGGGCTAAAGGGACGGGACACAGTCATCTTGCTCACAAATTCTTTGCCAAGTTCTGTAGCGCTGTGAGCATCCTTGCCACACCCCCACAACAGCTTTCACAGGTAATGCAGTTCATATAAATTTCATATCTGTTTTATATAGTAAATCAGGTTCTTCAGATAATTTTCAATCTGTTTGTATCAGTGATCAATCAATGAGTCCAGAAATGTATGCATCATTTATTCATTTGGATTTAGCAAAATGTTAAGCTAATGTATTTTAATTATATATATCAATTGTGTTTTTGTCATATTTAGAAAATCATATTTTGATTACAGTCTTATTTATAGTTAATTATATGTGTTCAAAAAGAAATCCTTTCAACATTGCACTGATAATATAAGCTTCTTGTTATAAATAAAGTAAAAGATATAATTAAAAAACAATTGATCAAAAATAAATTGATAGTACATTTTATAGTAGTGTAGTCAACAATTTTAATAGATAGCTTGACTGTAGTTTAACTACTTAAAATTAGGATTTCCTTTCTTTAGAGTAAAAAAGGTTCTTAACACTGAGAATAAAAGAACACAGTTCTTTTAAGAACTGATTACTGAAAGGTTATTTGGGAAACCAAAAAAAAAAATCTCCATTTGTAACCTTGATTTTTATTGTGTTTGTGTGTGACAAGGAAGGAAGCTTATAAATCATACAGAATGATCTTTTTTGAAAATCTAAAATAGGAGAAAGTTTTGTAGGAGATGTAGTTTTAGGAGTACATTTAGGGTAAGGAGGAGAAAATACAGTTTATACAGTATAAAAACCATTACATCTATGTCCCCATAATGTCCCCTTGAAACATGGAAACCCAATGTGTGTGTATGTGTTTGTTTGTAGATGAGTTGGAAAGCTTTGTGTGCTGAGCATCCATCTCTGAAGCCTGTGCAGCTACACAGAATCCTCACACAGTACCAGCTCATGGCGGAGCTCGGTCCTCTACCAATCTGGCAACCAAGCAGTGAAGATGAGGCATATATCTATAGAACAGGTAGACACATTAAAGGACTATAAATGAGTACTGTCGATTTTATTTCCAGAGACTTTGTGCATTCTAGTGTACATTATGCTTATGTGTCTTTTCAATAGTTGATCTGCTAGAGAGTTTTGAGAACCACCCTCCTATTGTGCTGCCGAGTGCTGGGTTCAAGGTGGACCTGGAGAGTGACAGTGTGGAGGACAGTATATACCGCCAACTACTTTACGTTCGTCATTTCCTTTGGGGTCTTCGCTCCAAGACCCATCCTTCTAATGGCTGTGCAGACCGTCAGGATTCTCAGGTAAATTTTGAATAAAATACTAATAAAACGCTGCTGTCTTAAACTTCTTTTTTTTTAAATCATTAAGACTTTTGAAAAAAGTATTTTCTGCTCACTAAGGCTGCATTTATTTGATCGAAAATACAGTAAAACTGTAATATTGTCAAATAACTGTTCTATTTTTTGATGGCAAAACTGATTTTTCTGCAGCCATTACTCCAGTATACAAAGTCACATGATCCTTAAGAAATCATTCTTATATGCTGATTTGCTGCTCAAAAACATTATTATTAAAGATATATTCATCAGCATCTGGCTTTTGCTGGTCATTCTTAAAAAAAAATGTGAACTAGCTTAAGGACTGTAGCTCAGAACACTAAGATTTAAATTCTATACATGAGAGTCATTCTTAATCTGATTACAAGATTAGCTGTTTAATTAGGAGCTGCCGGCTAAATTATGGCCATGTGTGAGTCAGTCTACAAAGAAACGCTACACATTTTCCATTGTTTAAAGATTATCCGAGCCTTATTTCATTGTTTATTTGTTTCTGCCATCAGTTTAACTGCCATATGGTATAATTCTGTTAAAGTTCTTCCTCCACCAGAGTACTCAATGTTGATTTATCTTTCAACTACTCATGCAGTTGAAATGAACAAAATGCACATCCCTATTAAAAACCCTTTAACAAAACACCTTTCTTTTTATAACACAGGGAGACCATAAAAATATGAAGATAATACAATTTCTCCAATGTATTGTGGGTTTTCATCAGAGGGCAGCCAATCCTATTAATTTATATGGTAGTCACCATATTAATTTTAGCTGTGTAGCGACTGTGTCTTCAAAATATTGTAGAAAATAACACAAATATAAAGTCCTTTTCTCCAAAGCAAAATACACATTTTTAAAATTCTATTTTTTTTTTAAATCTCATTTTAGCATTCTATTCTTAAAGGGACAGTTCACCTTCAGTTGCTGCTCCCCATTGACTTCCATAGTATGTGGGAAAAAAAACTATGCAAGTCAATGGGGACCAGCAACTGAAGGTGAACGGTCCCTTTAAATACACAAACATGGAAATAACTTAAAGGAATAACTGACATGTTTGACCTTTGTTGTTTTTTTAAAGAGTTGTCAACTTCTGCTTTGCTCTGTGAGATAATATGGATATTAATAAAATGATGATAACATGGTAATTGGGTTCTCCAGCGTGAGCCTCCTCAGCCTCACTCCAGTCCACATCCAGCACCTCCTTTGCGTGGGGAGGGAGAGGGGGAGGTGCGGGGCTCCTCCGCGGGTCTCGGAGGAAGAGGAGAGGGAGCTGGAGCTGAGGAACGACCCAGAGACAAGCCGCCGCATAGCATTCACTACAGAAACGGGACCAGCATCCGTTACGCCAACCAAACCCAAGCGACAGACTCTTCCTGTATACTGACTCCACCTAATACGGCCCTCTATCCGGAACACACGTATATACACTCCAACACACAGTCCAATCCAGCCCACTACCCTGAGCATGCTTCACAAGAGCACACACATACACACTCTCACACGAAGTCCAATGGTTGCATGCGTTCAACTCCAGAGCACAAGAAAATCAATGGCTTCATCAGCAATGGCATTGAAGGCAAGTCAAAAACGCCTTTTGGGTCGTGGATGTGTGTGTTCTTTCGGCTAGATTTGGTCTCTTGGGTCATTCCTGTTACACAGTACATATATATGAAGATTATTTTGTAGTTTAAAGATGTTTTTCTTTAAAGGAATAATGAACATTTGCTTAAAATGTACTCACCCTCAGGCCATTCAAAATGTAGATGCTCATCTGAAAAGATTTGGAGAAATTTAGCATTACTTTGCTCACAAATGGATCCTCTGCAGTGAATGGGTGCCGTCAGAATGAGAGTCCTAACAGCTGATAAAAACATCACAATAATTCACAAGTAATCCACACCACTCCAGTCCATCAGTTAATGTCTTGTGAAACAAAAAGCTTTGTGATGTTTTTATCAGCTGTTTGAACTGATAAACCTTTATCTCAAAACTTTATTGAGTTAACAGGATTATTTATAAAAGTCAAGAAAATGTTTCCATCATCAACAGGGTAGAGCCTATAACAGGACGGCAATAAAGGCCACTAATGATATTTTGAATTATCATAGCAATTTATCAAATTGAAAGTTTTTTTTTTTTCAAAGACAAACTAATACTGAAAAGAAAGTATTAAATCACAGAATTCATTAAATCCATTATTAATACTTTTACTTACCAGTATGTATTTATTTAGAAGAGACTAATACTTGATTTAATAGTGAAGTGCTGTTGTTTTCTCACCAAAAAAACTGTCACTTCCTGGAGCATGATGTTATTAAGGAGCTGGCCTTTTCTTAAAGGCATGCATATTACCAAATATTAAAGCCATATTACGAAAGATTTACACTATAGAAAGAGAGGACAATTGAGTAAAAAAATGAAAACTACTGCTATATTTTCTTAATTGTGGTATTGCGATAAAAGAAAATGAATAAGATATTAAAAAAAGGGACATAATGCAGACATGAAAATGTGCTGTGTAGTACGAATGACTGTTAGTGTTTGCACATGTTAGTTTTGATTATTCAATGACAGACATATAATCATGTCTGATTTGTGTACATTTCTTTTATTTCACTTGAATGAGTTTATGTGTGAATGCATGTGTTTATTTCTTATAAACATATGCACAGATTTCTCTGTGTATAGTTCTGTCAGTTTTCTATGTGTTTACTCTCTGCATCATTTAATAACTTTGTTTGCATGTGCAGCAGATGCATTTTCCCATTGAGAACATATTGATTTTGTTTATTGGCCCGATTAGGGAGTCTGTGTGTAGAGTCTGTGTGTGCGTCAAATGAGCACTGAGTCCTGTGTGTGTTTGTTTGTTTATCCCTGCCCCACTCCAGGCCCTTTGAGTGGTTGTGGTTTTCCTTTCCCTGTCCCTGTCTCTCATCTGGCCCCAAACTCTGATGATATCTGTTCCGTCTTTGTAGTGGACCTGGATAAAGGACCTTACGGCCTGGGAATGGGACTTATCGATGGGCTTGTGAGTCTCTGCAGTATTACTCTGCTGAAATTTAACACTGGCGGTCAATGTTCTATGCATATAACCCATAACACTATAGATTTGTTCCTAAACCTAGACAGCATGATGCTCATACATATACTGTAGGCTCAATGGAAAAAATGTGCATCTACCTACATGTTTGTATATCTCCAAAAAACATACCTTAATAGGTCCCACTTTATATTAGGTGGCCTTAACTACATTTAAGTACATTTAAATGAATAATTTGATACAATGCACTTATCGTGTACATACATGTTTTTACATTGTACTTATATATTTTAAAAAATACCTGCATGTAATTACATCTGTAACTAATTTCTGTAATTACATTTATAATGTTGACCTATTCCTTACACCTTAACTCACCCTTAAACCCACCCATACCACCAAACCCGTCCCTGAACTTACCCGTACCTCGCATCAATACTTATCGTGTACATACATGTTTTTACATTGTACTTATATATTTTAAAAAATACCTGCATGTAATTACATCTGTAACTAATTTCTGTAATTACATTTATAATGTTGACCTATTCCTTACACCTTAACTCACCCTTAAACCCACCCATACCACCAAACCCGACCCAGCAGCAAAAGTGTTTTACAATACAATATAAACATAATAAGTACATTGTACTTATTGTTGATGTAAGTACATAGCAGCTAAGGCCACCTAATATAAAGAGGGACCCCTTCATACAATTCACTGCAATTTCCAAGTGAAATGAACACTAGTGGTAATAAAACACCAACAGATTTTATTGCTTTTCACACAAATTAGGAATACAATGGCAGAATTAAAAATAATAATAATAATGCCTTGTTTATTTGTGGTTCCTTTTCAATTCTATGTAATGATTTCAAAGCATTTTTATCATCCTGCATGATTTGTAAACTAATTGAAACTATCATTTTGACATTTTAATCACATAACAGCTCCATAATAATGGCTTTTCTGATGCAGTACTTCAGAACTTGCTCAGTAGCTCACCCGGTACAGCATAGCATTGCATTTGGGTAAGAGTCTCGAATAACACAAGTCCTGATAAAAAAGCTCAAAGACTTGCAGGAGCAAGCTAAGTTGTCATGGTTGCTTCAGCAAATGTGTTTTTACTTCGTTTTGCTTTTGTTAACACTATATGTTAGGCTTAGAGTAGGTGGTACATTTTTTAATGCAATAGAGCATTAACCTTTTAGCGCCACTCACCGGACATTTCACATCAACTGCCATGATACATACAGCAATCAACATAATAAAATGTTGCCAGATTCATGCTTACCTGTTTCACAACAAATTGAACAGCGCTGCTTACTGGACATTTCATTTCTGAACAACCAATGTAATAAAAGATTGCTACAATCACATTTTGTTTCGGATAAATCTGAAAGTTCTTTAGCCCCACTCACTGGACATTTCACTTCGAAAGTGTAAGAAAAAATGCAAGCATCATAAAAAAAACACTCTCTTGAAGGGTGTCCAAAAATGTTGCCAGCAAAATGATGCAGCTTATTATTTTTATTTAGCCCAAATATAATCATTCATGGCAATCCTAGAATTGTGAAAAGCTCATTAAAAATCCTCCAATACAATTGACAAGTTAAGAGAAATTATTTTATTTATAGACAGCAAGGCAGCTTAGGTACAGAGCTTGTGTGTAAACCCTCGATTTTATTATAAAACAGCAAAAGACTTTTACATTATGTGCTGATCAGTTTCTATTTACTGGACAGATGTCTGATTATGGTTTGCACAAAATTCTGATTGATATTATGAGCTGTAAAAAATACTAGTCTGATGCTTTCGCTACACTCTAAAAAATGCTGGGTTAAAAAGGGACAAACCCAGCTATTAGGTTGTTTTGACCCAGCGGTTGGGTTCAAAACAACCCAACCGCTGGGTCAAAACAACCCAATAGCTGGGTTTGTCCCTTTTTAACCCAGCATTTTTTAGAGTGTACGATTCCATATTTTCTGTTTTAAGAAAAAGGCAACAAACAGGTCTCTGTTTTCTCATTCTCTCTATACACAGCATACCCCCCTGAACTCTCCTGGAATCTACATCAGGACACTGATTCCAGATGGACCAGCTGCTGCAGATGGGCGACTTTGCATTGGTGACAGAATCCTGGCAGTGAATGGGACCAGTCTCATTGGAGCAGACTACCAGAGGTCAGTGCTCTATAGACATCATCGGCTAGCAGATAATGTTCGCAATCAAAGTGTTACCGTAACATTTTCACCAGGCATGATCCTTTGCTATATAAATGTGTTCTTTTAACCCTGACATTTGAATCTCGCTTTGTCTGTCTCTCACAGTGCTGTGGATTTGATTCGTCTGGGGGGAGGACGGCTCCGGTTTCTTGTCGCCAAATCAGATCTTGAAGTATCAGAGAAGATCAGTGCCTCTTCCTGCTGAGAGAGAGGCTGCAAGTGTGACCCTCTACCTAGACGAAATATGAGGAGGACAGCAATTCATCCTTTCCGAGACTGGAGTACAAGCACACTATAGGACCTCTCAGCGACTATAACTCAGCCCTGTACAATACTGCACTCTTTCTCAGTCAGAAGGACAGTTTGACATCTCTGTCTTTCTTTACCTCTTAGCCAATCTGGTTTTGTTTCTTGAATGTCAAGGAATGTTGAAGGGGAAGGTATTTGTGCACATAATCATGAACGGAGACATGAAACGGGGCGAAAGTGGGGTTTTAATTGTGGGGTTAATTTGCTTTATAAAACATACAAACAATCAAGAAAACAATAAAAAACTGAAACATTTCAATAGCCTCGCTAAAAGGCACAAATAAGTCTTTATCTTATCTTTAACGGTTGATAAAAAGATCAGACGAATCTTCTTTTTCATTAATAAAAGCTTCTGTCTTTCAAATTGATAGTAAACAAAACTTTGGCTCAAATACTTGACGGTTTCCCCATTTAACATTATATATGCTGAACGACTGCACTTCAAGAGCCTCATTTCATGGTGCAACTTTCTTCCTCTCTGCATAAATATTTTAACAAAATTCTCAGTTCGCTATGTTAGCCGTATTTGCAACGACTTTAAGTTCACTAACTCACAAACTGCATATATACAAGCATATCATTTTCAAAATGATAAAATGTTAATATAGGACATAGAATTCATAAGCTGTTTTGTTTATATTTGAGAGGACATGACTCTGCACAAGTTTTTGAATACAAAAAGTGTTTATTTTTTCCCATTATTTCATGTTTGTACTAAATCTGTATTGCAGTATTTCATAAATGCATTTTTTTCTCAGTTGTACTTGTATTTGGAAGATTTATAATGTAATATACCTTGCTATTAAATCGAACATTGAGAAGTCAAACTACAATTGAGTTATCCTAGTCTTAGTATTTTTAAGAGATGCCTTCAACATTGTCCAGGAGAGGGCGCCAAAACACTGCAGATGAGTTGAACAAAACGGTAACTTGATCGGTTCTTCTAATTGTTGAAAACGAAAGACTAGAGCCGGTGCTCTACAAAACAGCTATTTATTTTGCTTTAAAATCCGATACAACTATAAAGTCAGAAGTCATCAAACCCTTTGTGTTGTGGAATTAAAATTGTAGAGCCTACGGAGAAGAGAAACGTGAACTACAAATTTTAAGTCCAGCAGAGAGCAGTATTGTGCCACAGCTTGGTCAACACTTCTTTTATTGATGAGCTTTCAGAGTAACGTTAGGCCTACTCACTTTCACCTGAGGCGATGTTGACTGTTTAAACATCAAGGCACTAGATGCGTCGTTTGTTTTTAATTGAGGTATCGAACAATATTATTAGCAGACGTTGGAACGTATTTGTTTATTTATGTTTTACTTAAGCTTAGATTGAGAGAAATTGAAGGGTTAGTCAAGTGAGGAAAATGCTTTTGAAAGACTTGATTCAGTTATATTTTTAATTGTATCGCTGCTTTGGTCTGAACGGGAAAATTACTGGATCCTAGAGTTTAGGAGTAGGCTTTCAGAAGAAATGTGAAGACGTGGGTGTGCTGATTACTGTAAGCAGGGTGCAACTGAACGCCACACTGTGACAGATCATGCCCAGATATAGCCCATCCTGGCAGATATGGTGTGAAGGAATGTCGATGCGTTGGTTTTCAACGAGTTAGTTGAAAATCTTGACCAAAAAGGCTATGCTGACAACCTAACTTAATTTGACGCTCTGGAGGCAGTCACGGAAAGTCAACTCATTTCCGCGAATCGATTCTTTCAAACTGTTCATTTCAAAGAACCAGTTGCAGTTCAAATCAGTGGCTCAAATATTCTTTTACGTAATTGTGTAATTAAGTCACCACGTGACATCTTTGTCATCCCTTTATGCCATGACATGCTGAAATGATTTAAGTCTAAAAGTTGCTGCCAATGTTTTATTTGTAGGCCTATTAATTAGGCTATTTATTGAAATAATGAGTCTTTGTTGCAATTTTATGTGTTCCAGATAATTTTTGCAGTCATGATTGATAGGCTATCAAAAAAGAACCTAAATATAATTTGCATTTAGGCTAGGCCTACATTAAATAATAGGCTAGGCTACAAGTCAGTTTACATTTATTAGCTTTAAATTAAAATATTTTTGTAGCCTACATTTTGATATAATGCTATTCATTAAAATCTCAATTTCGTGTGTGTTTTGTTATTTTCGGTTGTTAAAAACAAAACATAAAAATACAACTTTTAAAATCGTTAGGTAGCCTACAGTCGTCATATTTGTTGGTTTTATTCGTAAGATTTCTGATATTCTTACTCTTAAGCTCACCAGCCCGGTACATTTTTACAAACATGCTTTTAATAGCCTATACCAGTTCACTCGATTCTCAGCTTATTACGACTCGGCTCTCGGTTCAGTGAGTTGTTGACTCGTGAGCCTCTCGGACCGATTTAGTACAATTAAAGGGTTAGTCCACCCAAAAATGAAAATTCTGTCATTAATTACTCACCCTCATGTCGTTCCAAACCGGTAAGACCTCCGTTCATCTTCGGAACACAAATTAAGATATTTTTGACGCATTCTGACAGCTCTCTGACCCTCCTATAGACAGCAAGGGTACTATCACGATCAACGTCCAGAAACGTAGCAAGGAGATTGGTAAAATAATCCATGTGACATCAGGAGTTCAACCATAATATTACGAAGCTATGAGAATACTTTTTGTGCGCAAAATAAAAAAAAATAGCGACTTTATTCAACAATTCGTCTCCTCCGTGTCAGCCTAGCGCCATTTCGGAGAGTAGGGGGAGCGCTGGGCACAAAGTAACGCGGGGTAAATTGTAACGCACGTGGTTTAAATATTTCCGCACATGCTAGCAGGATTTACACAATTTGAGAAAGTCAAAAAGTGTTACTTTGTGCCCCGCTCTCCCCCTATCCACTGAACGCAAACAGCGTATGTTGTTCTGTGTCAGCCGCACCACACGGATATGTTGCTTTTTGTTCAAATCAAACCACAAACAACGTAGAAAACGTATCCGTGTGTTGCGGCTGACACAGAACAACATACGCTGTTTGCGTTCAGTGGATACTCTCCAAAATGGCCAAGGGTGACACGGAAAAAATATCTTAATTTGTGTTCCGAAGATGAACGGAGGTCTTACGGGTTTGGAACGACATGAGTAATTAATGATAGAAATTTCATTTTTGGGTGAACTATCCCTTTAATAGCCTAAATGATTCGCTGAGACCGATTTGTGAACCGGTTCACCCGATTAATTGAAAAGATTCAACTTCGAAAAGATTCGAAGAAGCATTAGTTCACGACACACATGAAGTTCTGTGTTGGTAAGGATGCTGTTTAGGATGCAGTAGACAGCAAGTTAGCTCACTAGCTTTGGAGACACAGCCTACCTCAGCAGCGCACTGACAGGTGTAAGATTAACTTTGTTAGGCGCGCGCGCGTCCGTGCGCCACAAATTAAATTAATGGAACAAATTTCCCCCGTAATTAAGATAAAAATTCGTGTCAGCTATAACCTTGCCTAGCGCTAATTATGTACAAATGATTTATCATCTGTTTCGGTCGGAATATTAATCTTCAGCTCGTTGCAAAGCGCAGCTTGTGTTAAGAGATGAGGCTTGATTAACACTGACAGATCTAGTAACTGCTCTCTCCCTCGCCTCAATTAACAGATAGTGGATGTGCAGGCAAGCAGAACCCTATTCTGAATCTGCAGTTACTAAAATACCCGAGCTTTCAAACAGCTGCAATACGAAATCCTTATTATGGACCAGGCTAGACGCCATATTTAATTTTTCGCAAATGAAAACGAGGCGGTGAGGGAAAAGCCCGTTCAGTAGCCTACTTTCGTGTAGGGTGTCTGTGATTCAGTTGACATTCAGAAAAATTGAAAATACATTTTATTTATATAAAAAGAATCTGGTGACTGGAAAACGTGTTGTGAAAATTACGGCGCAACACGGACTGCACATCTGCCTCAGTTTTATTCTTGACAAATTAAATATGGCGTCTTCCCTGCCAGAAAAGGATAGATTGTCAACATGAAGACTTTCAAACATATTTGTTGAACCACGCTTCTTACTCTTGACATTTATATGGATATTGTGTTCTCTAAACGATTTAAACCATACTTTCTAGTGGATAATATAGCCTACATAGTCCATCTCTTCTCCATTGTGTTTACCCATTAACCCTGATATATTAATATCAGTCACATCAGTGCACGTTTTTCTTACTGTGGTTGTGATGTTTTTTTTTCTGAAGGCAATTTGCGAGGTTAAGAAATACATCATGATACCACCTCTATCATCACACCGGTGCTGATACAGAATGACAGGACACTAAGCTGCTTTATAGCAATGTATGGGCTGGCAAACTGTATCGTCCATCATGTGAAATGAGCAGAAAGCACTGCAAGGAACAACAACGCCAGGACATAGTCGACATTAGCTCATTAGTTTATCCAATGGGCCGCAGACAGCAAACCCAGTAATCTTGAACACACCTAAAATGTGTTGCATCAACACTCAGACATTTTATTCTTTATGGCAACATTATGGCTAAAATGAGTTCAATTTCCACTAAATTAGTGGAAATGTGGACTTATGTTTCTGATGACTTAAAGGCAGTTGCATATGCAGTTGTTTTTTATTATTCATATGTGTGTTAAGGTAAGGATTAGGTTTAGTTTCCATACAGCAGCCAATAAGAGAGGTTGATGTGGTGATCAAGCAGGACCAAGGTCTTATTATGGTGGATCAGTCTGAGGTAGATGCTGAGAGGGAGATTTATTCAGGGGCACTGACATTCGGTCTATATAGTGCTGATAACAGTGAAGACCCTGGAAACTGCACACAGCAGCAGATGATGAATGGAGCGTCTGACCGTAATCACTTATCGTTTCAGCCTCTTCTTCTCCTCCTCCTCTTATGTGACAGGAGTACCATCTCCGTATTGCCTCTTCCTGCCTAAATATTCACTGTCTCTTCAAGATCTCCTTATCTTGGCAGCAGTGAATCTCACAACAAGCATTTTGAACCGTAGTGTCTTGTAGCATGAATTCATTTATTTCAGGGAGTTGAAAACGATAATACAAATACTGTTTTGAGGGATTTTTTATGAGTGCACTGGATCAGTGTTTGTAAGGAAATCATATATATATATATGTATATATAAAAAAAGGATATAGGATACAATGATTGGAGATGATTGGACTCCAGATTGGAGATAGGATACAATGATAACATAGCAATAACATAGCAAGTTAAACCGTGTTCAGAGTTTTTACCCCCCTCCCATTAATGTTAGGGTGGGGCAGGTTGTCACATGAGATATTATTATTTTAATTAAACTGTGATATCTGTTGACCAAAACCATGATTTGATATGTCTGTACAGAAATATATTTAAAAAAAATCCAGCTCTAAGGAATACTTGTATTCCTATAATAGTTATCCCGGTATAGGTCATCTTAAGACAATTTAATGTTTAAAATTAGAATAAACATGTCTAAAATGAATCTAGAATAGGCAGTGAACCCACATAATGTTTGGTAAGAACGATGCAAATGCAACATAAATTTTGACATTTGTGTTTAATAAGTGTATGGTGGTTTGTTGTGAGAAAGCCTACCATACTGTTAGGGCACACTCTTGTGATCAGGAGGGCAGAACTGCTCCCTGCAGAGGGTGAATAAATCCATTTTTAATGACAGTTGCTTGTAACTAATAATCTT